CCAGATATAATTTTTGATATTTTTTTTACTAGTGGGTGCAGGACACTGTAGCTCATTTATGTAAGTGAGTATAGCAAAATAAAGTAAACTGTGACAAATCATACCCAAAAATTCTTCATACAGTGGACTACCAGTAAAATTGATACAAATTTGGGACCAAAAATTATTCAGACCGAGTCTGGGGAAAAAAACTGAAGTTCAGGTTTGCATGAACCTGGATGACAGCATGCCCAGGAGACTACAGGCTGTCATTGAGGCTAAGGGTTGCTAAGTATTCATAGTTGTGTAAATACTGTCATACTAACAGCTGTCTGAATAATTTCGGGTTGATTGTAATCCATTACATGCCTCTCTATCAAAGTTATCTAACATTATCAAGCTGAATTTGTTATTGTCATATTTTATTACCATTTTCTAAACTATAGCAAATAAACTGTGATAATGTGACAAATGTTGATGGTGTCTGATTAAATTTTGGTTTGACTGTATCTATTTGATAAATGAAGTTAACATTATACATACTTTTTTGGTTTCTGTACCCAATATTTTAAAAACGTACAAATGCAATAAAAATATCGGTATCGGTACTCTGTATCGACAAGTACCAAAAATAAAAGTATCGGTATCGGGCGAGTACTGGAAAAAGTGGTATCGGTGCATCCCTATTTGAAACTCTTTTTTTTTTTTTTTAAGTGATACCTGGTCTGATTTGGCCTGATTCCTGGGTCAAAGTGTTTATTCACTACATGATTGGCTGCAGATTCTCATTCAAGTCTGGAAGCAGCCTCATAGCTTTCAGGTGGATAAAATCTAATCTAAAGATTCATTTAACCCTTTATTAATTTTTCTCAAAATATTCTGTTTCACACAGAAAAATATACCAAATTATGGATGTAAAATAAGTTGAATGGTGTTTCATATTGACTAAAACGTACCTTCAAATACTTAACTCTTTGTTTCTTTATGTGCAGGAACTGCGCAAATATAAGGAGAACGAAAAGGACACAGAGGTTCTGATGTCAGCGCTGTCGGCCATGCAGGACAAGACCCAGCACCTAGAGAACAGTCTGAGTGCTGAGACCAGAATCAAACTGGATCTCTTTTCAGCACTCGGAGATGCCAAGAGACAGCTAGAGATTGCTCAAGGTCTGCCCCCTTCCTGTCTTAATGCGTCTCTTAAGGCTCATCTGCTTCTGCTCACTAACCTATTCTCTCTCTGTCCCGCACACAGGTCAGATTTTGCAGAAGGAGCAGGAGATAAAAGAATTGAAGCAGAAGATCGCAGAGGTCATGGCGGTCATGCCCAGCATCACCTACTCGGCAGAGACCAACAGCATGACCCCACATTACTCCTCCAAGTTCATGGACACCAGTCCTTCCAGCTTGGACCCCAATGCCTCCGTCTACCAGCCGCTCAAGAAGTGAATGTCCAATCACATCGTCCACTTTGCTCTTTGATTAGTCTAAGAAGTTCAGTATGCAAACCAATGGAATGGGGTCGTATTTTTGTTTGATTTACCCCTCCTCTGTTAGTATGGCTCTTCTTTGTTGTTGATAAAATAAGTGGAGAAAATTAGAAAAAGGGATGTCACATTGACCAGAACTGCCCTCCTTGTGTTTAAGGTTATTTTTGAAGCTTTTCTTGGTAATGGCACTTCAGCCTGTTGTGGTTCTTTTGTCGTCCTCCATCTGTTTTGTGAGGTCTTTATGAAGATCTTTTATGATTTTATTAGCGCCTCCTCATCTTTGTGTTGAATCTGAACAGTTTTATGTGCCAGTGACTTCTTTTACTTCCCTGGTATAAACGTACCATCTTTAAGTTTATTGAATGTAAAAAGAAAAGGGAAAACGTATTGAAATGAGACCGAAGTATTTGTGATGGAAAAACAATGTGTTTGTTGTAATGGAGTGATTAAGAATGCATTTCAGTTTAAGTATGACCATAGTATGGTGCATCTTTTTTGTTTGTTTGTTTGTTTGTTTTTCGAGGGAGCTAAAAAGCATTTCATTACAGATGTTGGATCTGAGTTGGAAATATTTTAGGTTTCTGTTCCTCCCGTTGCTGTTTTCTAAAAGGTTGAAGACACTAAAAAATCCATGTATTTAAAAAGGGACTGATCTTCACATTGTATTTGTAGACAAAAATGCTGCATAAATATCCGGGAATGGTGTCGTATTTTGCGGTCAATGCAAGTCCTTTTTGTTACCGGACAAAATTGAAATAGAATTTAGTTGAAACCAGTTGAAAAGCTGAACATATGATGTCTTGTTTGCCAGTTGTTATGTTACACAGTGCCTTGAAATATCTTGTTTAATATAATACATGCCATAATCACCCACCCCTAGAATCCATCTGATTGGCGAGCACACCACATGACCCGTTTTTTTTTTCTCCGTTTTTTTTCCCCAGTGTTGCATTTAAAATAATCTGCCCTCTTGTTGCCATGTGTTTTTTCAGGGAAAAAACACAGTAACAGCAAGCCCACTCTAATTCACTAGTTATCAATGGTCTGCTGTTTCTGTCATGTCTCTAATTTACATTAACATGCTCATTGCATTTTATAATACTTCCTGAATGGTTTTATTTTGGTAAAATGTGCCAACTTTTCCTCCCTTCCACCATTTAATGTCATTGAGGATAATGCAAACCATGCGTCATTTCATAGAGACATCATTCAGTGACTGGGATAACACCTGAAAATCAATCCATTAATGCTTCATGACAGAGTTCTCCTTCACATTTCTTCTTCAGTGGTTTAAGGTTTGTGTCATGATGCAGGCAGAATATGCTTGTTTGGTTTAGTCCTTGTTTTACAACAGGGCTTTCTTTTTTTATTTGTCAACCTTGAGAAAGTATTACTGTGGATTGCATTTGGTGTTTTTATGGTAAACTTTGTGGAGAGTAAAGAACACGCCTTTGTTTCTCATTGTTTGATTTTTTTTTCTTAAAGAACAAAGCTAAATATTGAGGGTGTGTGTGTGTATACAGGGGTGTAAAGTACATCATTACTGTACTTGTTAGGGAAATTTGCACTTCATTCAAATGCCATTGAAATTGAGTACTTTACAATTACATTTACAAAGGCAGAAAATAATAATTTTTACTCCTTTCAGTGTCATTTTGCATTCCAAATACGTAATAGGTCATAACTTATCTTTTATCCTTCTTGCATTTTTGCCAGTGTTATGAAGGTTTACAGCAGTCAAAGAATTCAATTTTAATGTGAGATTTAATTGGCTACAAATCCGGTCATTCGTGCTTGTGAAAAGACTGCAGGGCAATTATCACAAACTAAATAAAATAAATCTAAAACTAAATACAATATAAAATATATAAAAATTAAATAAAATATATAAAATAAAAAATAATACAAAAAAAAAAAATTTCATTACTTGCAATAGAATAAATTATTTAAAAATATTTTTTGTTTAAGCTATTGCAGAGGCAGCATTTTTCATTTTTTAGTTTAAGTTGAAGGACTAAAATAACTAAAACTAAAATGTTATAATAAACTACATACGCAATATATATAGACAAACACAACAAAATTACTAAAAAAAAACTAAAATTTAAATTTAAAAAGCACAAAATATTAAAATAAAATTTAATTAGCAATACTATAACACTGATCTGCCTTAGGAAACATTTTGCCGATTTTTAACATTATTATTATTCACAATTATTATTATTAAAAAATACTGAAATGCTAAAAAGTGCATGAAATAAAGAAATCATATTTCTTCTTATTTTTTTCCTCCTCAATAACTATTATTTCTGTTTGTTAAAAAACAAAAAAAAAAGCTTTGATATTGAGGGACCTTCAAATATCTTATATCTGAAAATTTCTTAAATATCTTATCTTATATTGAGGGGCCTTCAAATTGTGTTGTTAGTATAGCCATAGTGGAACATGGTTAACGTGATTTGATTTTATAATTTTCAATAGAGGGCCATTTTTATAGCCACATGAGGGCGACAACGATGAGATCAGTAGATTCCACTTTGCTCTCACTTGTTTTTTTCATGTCTTTCTATTCTGGGAATCGCGGACTGTGTTCTAAACCTTACCAATGTTGACTCGTCGGGCATTATAGGGACGGCGCTCATACCAGGTTCCTTAATACAAACCCGCCGTCTGCTAAGCTCTTGTTTGATATTCGCGCACACCCACTTCAAAAAGCACACATCTGACGAGGCTTCGAATGGATTGTTTAACGCCGTTGACATGGAAACAGAATCTTTGCGCCGCGTAACTCGAACGTCATTTTGATTGACGGATGAAACACCGCCCAGGAGACGCGGAGACTTTTAAAACTGTAATTTAATAGCTTTAAACAGTTGTTGCAGTTTTGCTACAGTGGGTCTTTGAGGGTTAATTGAAAAGAGACCATATGAGAAGGATGAGAAGACAACGGTTTTGTGAAATAAACATGATGCAAAGCCAGCAGTGTGATTTTGTCGGCATCTGAAATCTGTTCCTTCTCTTTGGCATCCATCCTGGACTAGTCTACAAGTAGGTACTTGTTTGCTGGCAGTTTCCAAGCCATTCTAAGGCACATTTGTTTCAACAAAGACTTCTTCAAAGTTGCAATGGACTCAGACTCAGAGCTTTGAAAGCAGGTGAAGTGGGCAGGCTTGGTCTTTACAAGGGCAACTTTTTTTTTTTCCTTGAGTGGGATCAGAAAGTTTGCTGTGCATTTTCATTTCCCCTTTAATTCTGTCTTGACTCCACAAAAGCGGCTCTGTTTGTTGGCTGAGAGCTGCTTATCTGTATGACCTGGAATACAAGAAGTCTGCAAGAACACTGTTATGATTGTGTTCGGTCATAATTCCGTCACAGTGAAGGCTAAGGCTTTGCCAAAATGGTAAAAGTTTCCAACATCAGCAAGCTACCAGTGTTTATAGGTTGTTCTCTCAACGGGTGAGTGATGAAGAATAAGACACATTTGTGTGTTTAACATTCTTTTGTTGATCTACTGACCTACTTTTAGCTGCAGTACAGACTTTAGCTCATTTCACTCCTTTTTGAGGAATCCAGACAAAGATCTTTTTTATTTGACTGGGTTGCAGTTGTTCATTTTGCCAGCTGGATTGTGTATGTTCCCTCTTTAAACCAGTGGTTTTAAACTGGTGGGTCACGACCCAAAAAATGGGTGGCAGGTTTGTTCTGATAGGGTCATGGTTGAGCAGTGAAAAAAACAGGGTCAGTGACAACGAGTGTCCATGCTAAATAAAAAGAGCAATTTAGTTTAAATCACATGTACCATGTTTTTAGTATTATGATGTCTTTCATGTTTATTAAAAAAATAAAATAATAATAATATATATATATATAATTTTTTTCCCCTTCATGTTGGTTGCACATAACTATGATTTGGTGGATTTTTTTCAAGTATTAATATTTTTATTAACATAATTATTTACAGTTACGAAAGCAAAATGAATAGGCTTATTAACTTTCAAATGGGTGGTTCAATAATAATTCACCTTGTTATAGTTCCCTTCCTCTTGTATGTCATTTAAAAAAATAAAAAATACATTTTAAAAATCTGTTTAATGACTCTACAATGACATGTGGTGTAACAATAATATAAGTAAAAGTAAAAACATTTTTCTTACATGTGAGTGTACACATAATATATATATATATAATATTTGGTTTACTGATGAAAATGTGAATTGCAACTTAATGTATTTTTAATTAATGTAAATGAAAAAAAAAAAGAAATAAGAAAATAAAAATTAGCGTCTTATTGACCCAATACTAAATGCAGATATTCAAAAATGAACGCAAGTGACTACATTGTGCACAGATAGCAAAATGAATAGGCTTATCAACTTTTAAAAAGGAGGTTTGATAACGATTCACCTTGTTATAGTTCATAATTACTTTCCTTCCTCTTGGAAGTATCTCATTCGGCTTTCTCCTATGATCACTTCTCATCAGCGTGATCAGAAATGTCCTTCTTGCTGCTCCAAAGTCGTGTGCCTGAACAGAGAAAGTGCATAGCTTGCAGCAAACATGGCTGCATTGTAATGAAGAGAGAGCTTTTATGGTGTTTTATAGTGGTGAGATTTATCGCCTGTGCCTCTGGATCTTTGGTGTGTCGGTGACCTGCACATTCTAAAGAGTACAGCAGCCTGATGCAGAGAGCCAGGGAGATGTCCAGCAGCAGCTGTTGAGCCTTTTCCAGGCAGTCCATTTGATAAAAGCATTCGATATTCACCTCTCATGTTTCATGAGGAGTTGTGTGGAAGTAGAAGCACGAGTTAAGACTTACTAGGGAGACCTGGATTTTTTTTAAATGAACTTTTTTTATGAAGATTTGTTCACAAAGCTATAGTTTCCCCCAAAGAAATGATGGTCCGTTTAGTAGTTGTTTGTAATTCACACATAAATCTGTCATATCAAGGTCCTCATTAACATGTCGCCATCACTTGCATCATCTATGTTTATCTGCATTTGTCTCGAAGCAAAAATTACTTCCTGTTTCTGAGAGTTCTGTTTATTTTTGTATTTTGAAAAATAAACAATGACTTTTTTTCTTTCTCTATCTGGCCAAGACTGAAATAACTCCTTACCATGACCTCAGGAAAAAAAAAAAAAAATCACCATTTTGCACCGTAATCAGTAAAAGTTGAGTTTCTGATTTTGGTGCTTGAAGGCAGGCGGTGGTTTGGGTCCCCCCCCCCCCCCACCTCTGTGATTAAGGGCCCTTGGGTGTGTCACTACTCGGTATGTCACTAGGGCTGTATTATTACGCCCTTTTCCATCTCTGCATGTCTGTGAATTACCCTGGTTTTATGCTGGGGTTGTAGAGCATCATCAATAATTTCAGCATGTTATTTCAGGAGCTGTGGGAAAAGTAATGATATAGACCCTGTAGCTTCCTACAGTGATTTAAGGACACAAGAAGTCACTCATCAGCATTTCAGTTTCTTTGTAATGATTTGATCATCTTTGGTATGACTGGTTTTGTTTATGCCACAATAGAGTTGTGAATTTTGCCCTTGTTGTGACATGTTTCTGTCGGCTGTGCACAAAAATCAACAATCTCTTTCTGAGACAGTGATTCACTGTTTCCTGTGTTTATGATTCCTGTAAATATGTATGATTCATTGAACAAGTAGTGGTACAGTAGCTTTAATGGTTGAGCTTTTGAGAGGATTCTAGGATTCTAGCAGATCAGTGGCTTGTTCGGACTAAAGTAAATGAGATACAGGAATTGCCTTTTCCTTGTGAATATTACTTAAAAATAGTGCAGTTTACATCATATTGCCCCATGAGAACTTATAGCACTGTTGAATGGCAAGTCCATAACAAGAAAGCTTTTTTTTTCTTTTTTTTCTCAATTTTTAGTATTTGTTTTTTCTTTTTTATTTATTTTATAATATAATATTTAGGTGGAATATATACTTTAATGGCAAATCTGGGTCATTATCATTAATTAGGATCATATAGAAAAATTAACACAATAAGGACGTACTTTGACTTAAATACCTGTTTAACAAACCATTGAGATCATATAGAAAAATGTAACACAATAGGGTGTATATTCACTATAGCTGTTTAACACATCTGACTTAATGGAAAGATGTCTTGTCTGTTTTGGATTGATTCCTTTGTGTTGTAATTCCCAGAATTTGTCTGTGGGGATTTTCTGAATTTAACTGTTATAGCTCCACTGCCAAAAGCAGTCAGGTGACTGCAGGAGCCACAGGTAGTGTTACTAGAGCCAAACATGTGAGTGTCAACAGAAATAATTAGAGCGTTTATTTGTGTGCATCTTAGTTAATGGATGGCTGAAACCGTTTAATGTGTTGTAATCAGATTGGGAAATTAATGCAGATTGTGAAGGTAGAAGTGTTGGAGGTTTTCTAATCACATTTGCATTTTATATAATTGACACATTCCTGGCATCAACATTACAAGTACAAATTTATCAGAACTGTTAACGGAGTATTCAAAACACATGCTAATACAATACATATGTGTTAATATTCAACCTAACCAAATAATTATTCCCAAAGATGTGCAGTAGGGGTTTAAGCAAGACTTTTATATTTTCACATTATGTTTTTAGTGAAGATGAGCTGAGAAAAGACACTCCAGGATAGAAATTGGAGAAAAATGATACCAGAAACACTGCTTCAAGAAAGACATGTTTAATTTCTTGAAACCTCATCTCTTACAGCTGCTCCAGACCTTTGACTGTCTTTTTGTTTTCAGTCAGCCCTGGAAATAAGGATGTACAGGAGCATCCAAAATTTTTTTGGCCTGGAATATTTGAGTCGTTAGAGGTTTAAGGTTGATTCCAACAAATATTTGCTAATGCAGTGTTTTTTTTCTTTCAATATTTCATAACTGTTCATGACCTACAGCACAAGTCTTTGGTGTGCACTTTGAAGCTGTTTGCTGTTTGTCTGTGCTGACTTGGTTTAACCCACATGTGTGAGTGTTTTTGTAGCTGTTTAGTGTTGCCTCAAAAAACTCTTCACTCTGTTCGTCTTTTCTCCCCTTGCTCCAGAGCTCCCTGAGAACTGGACTGACACTAGAGAGACTCTTCTGGAGGGAATGACCTTTAACCTTCGGCATCTGGGCATGACTCTGGTGGACCAACCCAAAGGCGAGGAGCTCTCAGCCGCTGCTGTCAAGAGGATTGTTGCCACGGTGAGTTCTAGCTCGGATTAAAGGCAGAGTAAGGTTTTTTTATCCGCCATCTCTATCTTTCTGTCGCTCGGCTCGGCTAATGTCAGTCCCATGCACTGAACGCGCTCTCCTCCACATCACGAGTAGACACGCCCCTTATTGCTGATTGGCTACAAGTTTGTTTTGCGATTCGGCCCGAATCAGTTTTCTAAAGTGTTTTTGAAAAATCACTTACTCTGCCTTTAAGGCTGGGGCAATAACACGATAACAATAATTATTGCAATATAATGTTCCTTGATGAAACGATAACACGAGTTCGATAAATGTTCAATATAAAGTTTATGTACCAAAAGTGGAACGAAACAGTACGACTTATTTGAACTGCGCCACACAGACCGTTTATCCGCTTGGCTCAATTCAAACGGCAGCGCAGCGTGAGCTCACTAGAGCAGATGCGTTTATTCGCTGATAAATCTCGGTCACACGAGCACTAAACAGCACTGAGATCCTGTGTGAAGCGCATGAATTCAGCAAACACAAATGACTGATTTAATGAATCATTTAAACTAGTTTTACGACAGCGCTGACAAACAGAAGAAACACTGTGCACAACAATACAGATACAAATCGCCATCATTTACCATGAATTTACTGTAGTAACACTAACTGCACCATGGTATTATGTCAGAAATGTGGGATATTCATATTGAATCTTATTATATTATCAAAGTATTAAAGAAGTAATGGAATATAATTATTACAGTATTTTATTGTGATTTAAGCTATAGTGTTTGTGCATTTTAGTTTAAAGGTGACATATCATGAAAATCTGACTTTTCCAGGTTTTAAGTGCTATAATCAGGTCCCTGGTGCATCTACCAACCAAGGAAACGTGAAAAAGATTAACAGACACATTCTGGGGACACCAGAGACTTGTATTACATATTGTAAAGAGGGGCATAATATGTCTCCTTTAACGTATTTAGACTACTGTTTTTCATACAGATACTTAGAAACCATGTAGTTACATTTTATACCATGATATTGAGGTGATATGTATGGTTTTAAGTGTGGTTATCATGATCTAAATGTATGCTACTGTGGAAGACCAATGGTCAATTTTATAAAACTCAAACAGAATAATGAAATTTCACCATATAAAAACAGATGTTACTGTTTTTTGTTTTTATAATGATCATAAATTTACACACACCTGTTTCATGATTTGAAATGATATCACTCATTAGGACATCCAGAAATTAATTAAAAAGAAATTAATTTTAATATTAAGATATTTTTTAGGTATATCTTAAGATATTTATATTAAGCTATTTAAAACTGGAAAAGCGTAAAGATTCGCATTCCTTCGGACAATAAACCCAGTGATATCAGCGTTGGTTGCCATGGAACCAGAGGCCTGTTCTGCCCTCCTGAGGTGTTACGCATTTCGGGGGAAGGGTCCATAGGTCCTCATATGGCTTGTTAACTGAGGGGTGTTACAGAGTATTTGTTAAATATAGCTAACAAAATATATATTGTGTGTTTGATTGGTCCAGACGCTACAGAATTCAAATATGTGAAGTGTTTGTCATGTTCTGACCATAAAGAGTAGTTTATAGTTTAATAAAACTTGTGAAATTTATTGTGATAATTAACCTTACCGACTGATATGAAAAATGTTACCATGATAATTTTTTGGCCGTATTGCCCATCCCTAACTCGGATATGAAGATATAAGAGTATACAAAGATTATATCAGTGAGACCCCTAAAACAATCACATAGCAATCACATAGCAACTCAATAAATCACACAGAACATAACCAACGCATAACCAATGTTTCCTCTAATTTCTTTCTTGCTGAGCAAAACTTCTCTTTATTGGGCGGACATTTTGGCCACCTGAGCAAAAACATTCTTTATACCTGTACAGCGCGCACACAAAAAAGTGTGTAACTTTTAACTTTAATGTGCTATTTATATTTGATTTGACCCTTGATGTAATTAAATGATGCACATTTTAGGTTACCTGAGAAAACATTTTTCTACTACATAGGGATGTTAGATAACTATTTTATGTAATTATAGTTTGCACACCACTACACCTGCACTGTAAAAAAAAAAAATCCGTAAAATTTACGGTAAAAAAAACAGCAGCTGTGGTTGCCGGAATTTTACTGTAAAAAATACGGTAGCAAAGTTTTAGGTTTTACGGTTTTAACTTAAATTTACAGTTAAATACTGTAATTTCATTGACTGATATAATGTTAATATACCAACCTATTGAAGTACTGAAATCTGTTTTGTACCTTTGTAATACACTGATAACCACCAAATGCAGGTGGTGATGAGAAAGTCACATGATGAACCAAAGCCCATCACAAGCAGCTTTTAAATAATAACATATATAGAAGGTGCACAGTGTCATTCACACAAACACTAAACACCATCATGGCAACACACATTAAACTTAAATAATGCAATAAACATTAATTTAACAACATTAGGTGTAACACACAACCCAAATATACAAAACTGATAAGAAAAAAACTAAGAAACATAGTTATTTCAACAAAAAAAACATCAAATTTGAAATGTAACGCAGGGAATTCTGGGAATGTCAATTTATGGTTATTCACTGTCAATTATACGGTCTTTTTCACTTACGGTATACTACCGTAAAATTAATGTCCAATACATGTAAAGTCCAATACAGTTTTTCACCATATATAGTAGGGAATTTACCGTTAACCATTTAACAGGTTTTTACTGTAGCATTTTTACAGTCTTTTACCATTAAATTCACTGTCATTTTTTACAGTGTGTGTGTGTGACTGTAAATGTCTCAGTTTTGTTACCGTTCTGTGACCATCATCTGCTGTTTCCACCACGTAATCAAGCCAGTCTTCTTTAAAACATGATGATGTATTATTTCACGTCATTTCATTTGCGTTGGCTCTTGTGTTGAGATATTTCGTCCGCAACCATTAAAGTTTTCGATTTCTACAGAGACTAATTTAGCGCAAATCATTCTCTTTCTATGAAACCTGTAAACTGCATTCACCGGTTCTAACTCTATAGCTACACCAACTCCATAGCGGTTTGCCCGAGCATTGCAATTATTTCGCGTTTACTAGAATTAAATCAAATGGCTTTCCTAACTCATTTTTGCGTGTGCGCGGCATATTATTTCTTCTGCGTGGTCGCGACGGAAGAAGTGCGAGGCTGTACACGCACGCGCGCAGCTTAGAGGGAACATTGCCCATAACCCTTAAAGTAATTTAAGAACAGAACATCCTAGAATCAAGAACCAAGTTCTGCATGGACAAGCACTACTATGAAAATCAATAGACAACGTACAAGCAACAATATTAAAATCTTTTGTTTGTTTGTTCTTGTTCATTTGTTAGGCCAAAGCCAGTGGGAAGAAACTGCCTAAAGTGGCCCTGAAAGTGTCTCCTCAGGGAATCGTCCTGTGTGACAGTGTGTCCAACCAACTGATCGAGAACATTTCCATATACAGGTGAACTCCACACACGTCCGGCACGACTTCTCTCACGTTCACCTGCCTGTTAAACATTCACACGCTGTGCCACTGAAACACATTAGACTATGAAAGTAATTGTCTCTGTATGCTTCCTCTTCTGAGAAGTGAGTGTGTCTGACCTACAGTGGAGATGATTTATCCTTCCATCCAGTGTTTTACCACACACACACACACTCACCTCTGAGTTTCTCACTAGGGACATGTGAAATACAGCATGCTGCAGGAGACCAGCAGTAGTTCCCATAAATCTCATCTTCACAGTTGGATGTGCTTCAGCTGAGCCTACTATCCACACATACACACACACACACACACACGCTCACTTTCTATATTTGTTTAAAGACAAACAGCAGCCGTCAGTTCTTTAATGTGTAACAGCAGCACAAAAAACAGTCCTTGAAGATCCAGCACAGACAGCTGTGTCTGCTCCATGTCCATATCTCTGCAAAACATCATTTTTATTTACTCAAAACTGACTGCAAGTCCTTAACTCTGGTCTGTTTTGTGACCGTTTCCCCCAGGATATCATACTGCACAGCTGACAAGATGCATGACAAAGTGTTTGCTTTCATCGCCCAGAACCAGCAGAATGAGACGCTGGAGTGCCACGCATTCCTCTGTGCCAAACGGAAAGTGGTGAGTGTTTGATGCTTTCCTTATGAAAGCTGTGAATCTTCAGTCACCACAAAGACTTCTGACTGGAACAAAAGCAGTCAAACAAAGCATGAAGAAGGGGGACAGTTTTGTTCCAGAATAGCTGACTAGCTCACTTTGTGTCTGTTGAAGGACAGGCTGTTCTTCAAAGCATTCACTTCACTGTCCAAAAACATGCCTGTTTATGGCTAGATGCTGAGGGTTAGATACAAAAGCTTTCCTAGTGAGCCGCCTACCTAGGCAACATTTAAAGGCACCATAAGTGCACTACTGAAACAAAGGCTGATCAGGAAGCTGGATGAATTCAGAGATCCGTTGTTTTGACCAAGTGTAAGACATTGCAGGTAATTTTCAGAGAACGTACTTCCAGAATGCGCTGTGACGAGCTTGGTGAAACAAGTCTGTGACTGTAAACAATTTGAGAAAATTGATGATTATAAATCTGTTTTGTTCAATACTAAAAAAGTTTTGGTACAAAAGCAGGTCAATGTAATTATTGACTGTTTATAAATGTAATAGTTTACCAAGTATTTGTGTATGCAATGTATTTTTGCTTTTTGAAATGCTGTGTTGCTAGCTTAGCAACATGCTAATGTAAAACTATTCAAATCAATTGAGAGGTTGGTTGCTTTTGCGGTTATTTCAGATGTGATTTTGTAGATGTAAGGCAGCTCTCTCAAGGTTTCACAACATAGCTTTTATGTTTGATATATTATATATGATATACTATCTATATAGATAGATAGATAGATAGATGGATAGAAAAAAGTAAATGAAGACGAAGAAAAAACACTTAGTAGTACAAAGTTTTTATATGTATATATTTATTTCTATCTATATATTATATAGAGAGAGGCAGATCTAGTTATTTTATTATAGCTTTGTGTGAAATTCAGACTACTTCTGTGTCTTTTGGTTTGATTTGTTTAGATATGTTATTTGGTCTAAAACGTTTGCAAACCACTGATGACTGATGTTGAAATGCCTTAAAAATATGCATACATGTTGTATGTGTATGTTGTTCTTGTGTGTATAATGCACAGATACTACAGTCCTCCTCCATCCTGTCTTAATGACTCGATCTTGTCTTGTCTTGTTGTGTTCTCTCAGGCCCAGGCGGTCACACTCACGGTGGCTCAGGCCTTCAGAGTGGCCTTCGAGTTCTGGGAGGTTGCCAAAGAAGGTACAGAGTATCATATCTCTCCACAGAACAATGTGGAGGTCGTATTTATCTGCAGAGGATCATACGCCACAAGTGGAAAATAATTTGTCACTTTGTTTTGAAGAATATGCTCTCCTGATGGGGTCTTTGAGGGCATTGAGGCTGTCGTGATTGATTATGACAGTCGGGCCATTGCTCTGTTGCCTTTTCATGTTATAGAAAAGATGGACACACAAAATGATTTGATTTTTAGATTTGGTAAACAGAAGCCAGTTAATGCATCACAAAGAAATTCCTTGTATATCTTCAACTTTACAGACAAATTTTCTAAAATTATGTGACCAGAATACAACATAATATTAATACTTAATGGAATTAAACATTTCCAAAATTAACATTTACTCACCAAGTGAATGGGTGCCATCAGAATGAGAGTCCAAACAGCTGATAAAAACATCACAATAATCCACAAGTAATCCACACCACTCCAGTCCATCAGTTAACGTCTTAGTGAAGTGAAAAGCTGTATGTGTTTGTAAGAAATAAATAGAATATTACAATGTTTTTAACTTTAAACGGTTGCTTCTGTCTAAAATATGAGTCATCTCAGCTGAATCAGGCGAGAAATATGCACAGATCTAGTGAAAACAGGTTATGGACATTATGGGCTCATATTTTTAAAGTTAAAATGCCCGAATGATGGATTTCTTACAAACACACAGCTTTTCACTTCACAAGACAGTAATTGATTGACTGGAGTTGTGTGGATTACTTGTAGATTATCGTGATGTTTTTATCAGCTTTTTGAACTCTCATTCTGAGCAATTGATGTTTTCACTTTAAAATAAACTTTTTGATTAGTGTTCAGTGAAATGTAAGAATATATTTCTGTTTTATTTTATGGTACAGCATGAATTTAATTCGTGTGTTGCTCTACTTTCAGAGAGAGAGAACCGTGAGAAATGGGATTCAGCTGGAGAGACGACCAACAGTTCACAGTCAGAGAGATCGGTCAGCCTGAACAGCCTTAAAGTAGGAGGTACAAACTAGGGTTGTGACAATAATATCGCGTATCGACGATAGACCGAGATATCGCCTGTGGCTGATGCCTTTGACGATAGCAAGACGATTATTATTATTATTATTATTATCAGGCTAGTAATATTATCTAATTAATATTAGGGCTCATTTGTTGCATTATATTTCTTTTTCCGCGTTTTTACAGTATTGCGCGTTCTAACCAATCACACACGATTATGCTGAGCTTATGAATGCAATGGCCAATCAGAGGCGTTCAGATGAGTCATCACTGAAACAGCGGAGTTCTGTTGTTCAGCGCGCGTTGACTGAATTCTGACTCGCGAATTCTCATTATAAACAACAAAGTGCAGGTCTACGTGCGATGTAAGTATAAGAGATTTATTCATCATACAGCGTAGATTCACTGAGTTTAACGGGAGTGTTTTTAAAGTGCATAAACTCGCGCTAGACTGAGTGATGATGTTCTTTGGTAATGTAATGTTCTTTTCTCGTTTTCTGTAGCTGCTTTTTGAATAACTGAGGAAATGTAAGCATTATAATTAGTAACTTACGATGTTTCTATTAATTTGTTATCATGTTAAATACAAATTCAGTCATATTAAAAACATTAGGATGCTTTTATCCTTACGCTGGAGTTGGTTCACTTTCTCTCAATGAAACGAAGTAACGTTAATAATTACATAAATTAGCACGATAATATCGTGTATTGGCGATCTCACAGGCTGATAGGACAATATGAAAATTGAGCATATCGCCCAACACTAGTACAAACTCCTTAAACTCGCTGTGCCTTCTATTCTATTCTATTCTATTCTATTCTGCGTGTGTGTGTGTGTGTGTGTGTGTGTGTGTGTGTGTGATCTATCCCTTTAGCGCTTTGATACTAATGGGCTATGTATCTATTCTAGCAGTAGCTACAGAGAACCTGTTGGACATTGATGATTACTCATCTGCTGTGGAAAATGTGGACAATCCTCCCGAACCCAACAACAACAGCACCACCCTATGGGTAAGATCTTGTCCTTGAAAACCGGCTTTTCTCTTAAATGAGACTCTCAGGGAGGATTCTACACGAGTGACTGCTGGCCAGTAACTTTGCTTGTCTTGTTACAAATCGACTACCATTTTGTTCCACTTTCAGGAGATGGATGATGGTCTGGAAGAGGCTTTTTCAAGGTATGAGGCACCCAAAGCTGTTCTTATCTCCTCACAAGCTTCTGTCTCGTCTAAATCTCCTTTCTATCTCTCTTCAATGAGGGGCAGGAAGGGCTAATCCTTGAGAAGTGAGCTGCATGTAAAAAAAAACTCTCGCACATCAAGACAATCTCAAACTACATACAGTCTTTCTGTGTTTGTTCTCAAAGATTGTTGGAACCGTTTGAAATATTTCTTTTAGTTTGCTCCGCATACTTCTTGGCCTTTGATTAATCATCCGGAGCAATTGAGCAAAGGCACTTTTCCCATACCGAGGTCTCATGAGACAGATTTTCTGATTTTATTTGTTTATTTTCCACAGAACCAAGCAAGAGCTTTACTTAACAGTAGTTTGGCAGGGTATAATTCGCCCTGCAAATATAGAGTTGGCCTTCAATTCAAAGATGACAACCCTGACCTGAATATTTGTGCTTTATGAGTACAAATGCTTACAATTTTGATTAAATCCACCAAACAAGCTGAACATGGAATGCTTGGAAATGTTTCCTCAACAAGATTCTTATCTATTTATTTAATTTTTTTCTTTCCTGTCAACTGCTGTTTTTGTCTGCTTTTTGTCAGACTTATAATGGTTGCAAATAATAATTGATACTGTAAATAAGAAAATAAAATAATGTGTATAATAATAATAATAATAATAATTATTATTATTATTAATGAAAAAAACTGTAGAACTGAGCAAATTAATTAGAATAAGAAAATGAGATTGCTTAAATGCAGTTTGTTACTTATTTAGTCATTTATTACTTAATATATGTTTATATAAGTCTTGCATCAGAGGAACCATGTGTTGACTGAAGGAATATTTATCAGATTAATTGATGATGAGAGCAGCCTTATTGAGCAGCAACATCTTCATCTGGGCTGAAGCAGCTAATACCGCATTTAACCTTTCATGCCTACTGGAAGATTAATATCAAAAACTGGCTGTTTCATGCATTATCACTTGTTTTAAATAGAACTGTTTCTTAAAGGGGTACAGAGAAGCATCCTGCGGCCCTTGATTGTTGTGCTCTCTCTTTGTTCCTAGCTGCAGTTTGGATAGCTATGAGTACTCTCCAGGTAACAAGTACAGGTCCAGTCCTGTACCAATCCAACCTGAGCTCAACTTCCACCCGCTCCATACCCAAATCTGTGTTCTGTTTATATACTGTAACATCATTCTGTCAATCTGTAACATCATTCCCCTCCCCTGGTGTCTTCCAGAACCCTGCCAACTTTCACTGATCAACCCAACCAAATTAGCATCCTGGGCTGATACTGACCCAACACACAGATCTAATTGGGAATTTGATGGCAGGGTTCTGCAATGATCCATATTTAAATACAATGTGGTTTGTTTACAATATCCCATCATTCTCAGTCTAGCCAGTATGTTATTTGTGTTTTCATCCTGTTTTTGTTTTTTATCCCTGAACATAACACTTAGTTAAAAGTGTAATACAATTACATTGATGTACTGCATGCCTTCTAACCTTACAAATAAAACCATACCAGTTGTTAGCATATTAGCTACCAACCAAAGTGTAGAGGAGTGTTTCTTCATCAAAACAGATCTGTAGAAATTAAGCAATACATCACTTGCTCACCAGTGGATCATCTGCAGTGAATGGGTGCCGTCAAAATGAGAGTCCAAACAGCTAAATAATAATCCACACAACTCCAGTCCAACTATTAACGTCTTGTGAAGTCAACAGCTATGTGTTTGAAATAAATCCATCAAGATGTTTGTAACTTTAAACAAGTTCTCTATCCATAATATTGCTCTGTCCATAATTGAAAAAATATACATAAAATAATTGATGGACTGGAGTTGTGTGGATTACTTGTGAATTAGTGTGATGTTTTTATCAGCTGTTTGGACTCTCATTCTGACGGCACCCATTCACTGCAGAGGATCCACTGGTGAGCAAGTGATGCAATGCTAGATTTCTCCAAATCTGTTCTGATGAAGAAATAGACTCCTCTTAGAAAGCCTGAAGGTGAGTAAATTTTCTGGAAATGTACAATTTTGGGGTGAAATATTCCTTTAATGAAACCTTTAGACCCATATGGGCAATTCCAGCTTTACAAATGTGACTAAATCAGAGGATTTATACTTCATTTATACGTATTTACCCAATTACCTATGTTAATCAAACCTGTACATCTGCATCACTGAAGAGTTTCAGCTTTTTCAGTTGGCATTCTTCTGTCTCTTTCCCCGTAGACTCGCTGAGTCTCGTACTAACCCCCAGGTCCTGGACATTGGGGTGAGGCCTCAGGACTGGAACTCTGAGACCGATTGGGACAAGACCAACGGAAACGCACCAAACGCCGATGAGCTCTTCAGTCTCTGAGCACAGATAAGTTTGTGGGAGGAAGTAGATCCAGGAACCTCATGCAGGAGTCTTCTGCCAGTCGAGAGGGCGGCACACTGGTCCTTCTCGTCCCGATCATCTGGTCCATTACACCAAAGCAATAGCAGATGAGTCTATTTTTGCAACAAAAAAAAACTATCAATCTTTTGATAGGAAAAAAAACTTTTTATCAATCAAATTGTATACAGAATAATGTATGTAGATACCAGAGTCAGTATTGTTTCATATATGTTTATCATATGAAATGTAACATTGTGTATATTCAGGTGCACTGTGTGGAGTTACTTTAAGGTCTAACGCTGTTGTTTGCTGCTGCTTTGAGATTCATTTATCACCACAATGCTCTTCATTAACAATAACATGGAAATCAGCGTTAAATTGACAGTACAGCTTATCTTTAGTGTCTTGTGAGGCTTGTGAATCATATTTTGGTATTTACATGTTATTTTTTATTTAATCCAGACTGTATGATTGTTATAACACCCAAAGGGGCCATTTAATATTTCTTAAAAAAAAATCTAATAAACGTGTTAAAATTATCTAAGAATTTAGCCCATTATTATTATTTTTTTTTATTTGTGCCTTATGTGTATTTCATTATATGGTATTCCATGATCTTATTAGTATTACTAGTATTAGTATTAGTATTACCTTGATATTTCATTATCTGTTATATATGTTAAATATCTTTTGAACTATTTGTCCTATGTAGGGTTGTTGGGGATTCTGGAGAATATATCTCTGCCAGATATTATTACATTACATTATTTAGCTTTAATAACTTAATTATTCATGCATATTTGTCCTTTTCAAAATTAATTTCTCACATTGCTAGTGCTACACCATCCATTTAATTCAATCAAAAATCTGCTAAAAAATGTAATTAAATGTAATATTAAATGTTAAATATTTTTAAATATAAATTTAAAAATTTAAAATAAAATCTGTGTATATCCTATCTGTATTCTTTATCCTATAACAGACCAAATTGTTTTGATTATTATTTTTTAGTTTTTAGTCACCAGGAGAGGGCAGCATTGCCTTCTAAATTTCTCTGGCTCTTCATCTCCATTTTAGTTTTTGTGTGAAACAGTGTTTGTGTGCACGAGGTGGATTTCTTTCACTTTTTCTATATTTGTCCCAGATGACACAAAATGCACTTGACACATGTAGAGCAGCTGCAGCAGAGTCTATTTGAAATACCACAGGAGAGTTATTGTGGCCATGGATGGCGATATATATTGGCAAGAGCACCCGATACTTTGCCTGAAAACCTCAGACCTGTAAATCAAATACCAAGCAGGTCTTATTGAGAGCTCACTGGATATGAATGCAGATTCTATATAATGGTGTTTTCCTGTAACCCAAAGACCGCTTTCCGTAAAGGGTTAGTTCACCCAAAAATGAAAATTCTGTTATTAATTCTCCCTCATGTCGTTCCAAAGCTGTAAGACCTTCGTTCATCTTCAGAACACAAATTAAGATATTTTTGATGAAATCCGAGAGCTTTCTGACCCTGCATAGACAGCAACGCAACTGACACGTTCAAGGCCCAGAAACGTTGTAAGGACATTATTAAAATAGTCCATGTGACATCAGTGCTTCAACCGTAATGTTATGAAGCTACGAGAATACTTTTTGCACGCAAAGAAAACAAAAATAACGACTTTATTCAACAATTTCTTCTCTTCCGTGTCAGTCTTCAACGCACATTCATGGACTATTTTAATGATGTCCTTACTACCTTTCTGGGCCTTGTACATGTCCGTTGTGTTGCTGTCTATGCAGGGTCAGAAAGCTCTCGGATTTCATCAAAAATATCTTAATTTGTGCTCTGAAGATGAACGAAGGTCTTCTGGGTTTGGAACGACACGAGGGTGAATAATTGCTAACAGAATTTTTCATTCATTTTTGGGTGAACTATCCATTTAAGTAAATGTGATTTTGTTTGTCAACATAGACTAACTTGACCTTTGTGTTCCTATAAAAAATGGACAAGTTTTTCCTGTACCTTTTGCCTCCACTTATAGAATGGAACCCAAGCGGTTGACTTGCGTGTGGTTGTGTTTGTACATGTGTGGAGTCAGGTGTGCATGTGGGTTGAAGCGTGTGACGCAAAGTGCTCAAGAGAATCCTTGACGCACCAATACACGCACACACACTCAAACAAAAACGTGTCTAAAAACGTGTGGGAGGCTCAGAGCTTCAGAAATGTTCTCCCCTCACACAATCCGTATCCTCTCGCCTGAGGACTTTCCCTCAAACTTCATTGGCATTCGTTCTGTAACGTACCCCTCCAAATTGTGTGACATGTTCAAGTCATATTTCTTTTTCTGTCTCTCGTCTATATATAGGTGAATTGTGGGTGAAATGCCATCGATTTCGCCAAGGTCTCTAGTTCAGAACGGATGAAGCTTACGCTTTACAGCCAGTAAAAATAGATTAAACCTAAAGGGCAGAAAGTCCGGAGTGCACAGGCATCTGTATTCACAGGGCCACTGTCTGTGAATGGCTGATGGGATTTTGCTTGCACTTTAAACACACCAAGGTTGAACAAGATGGATGGGTTTGATCACAGAGAGTCGGTCGAGCAGCCCATTACTTTTTTCTTTATTTTTTACCTTAGAAGCCATCTTCTATAATTCACTGCTCAGCTGCTGAGTACTTTTGATATAACATCCATCCTTTGTGTACGTTTGACCCAGATGAATAGCTCCGATCTGAAAAGTTCCAGCTGAAGGTCTTTAATTTTATGCCGGCTGTGGGATATTTCTTACCGTTCCGCTAGTGCTATATTATACGGAGTGCATAGCAGATTTGTTTAAATTACCATAAAACATTTTTTAAACAGTCAGTGAAGTGTTATTTCTTCATTAGTCAGTGATGGCTTAAATACAGCCTGTCATCTTCTTTTTTTACTGAAGAAACAGCTTGGAGGAAGTCCATAATTAAACCATCATGATTTGATGAGACAGACAGTGTTTTATTGGTATTGTAACCACAAACAAAATGCACAATGTGGTTACACAAAGGATTTGGATGCTTAATTTATGAATGTCAGTGCATTAGATACAAAATATCAAACCGAGTGGCATACACTCACTAAAAATGACCCAGTTATTAAAAGTAGTTACGAAAATGATAAAAGTGATTTTGTGTCATCTAATGCAGAGATATCCGTACATTAGAGTAATTACAGTCCATTGTTCTGGAAGAGTATGTTCACTTATAGTCTATTTCTGATGAAGTGGCCGTGTAAGTGCTGGTTTGATGCCAGCTAACTGAACATTTGCTTGCTGTTGCAGGTCAGTGCTGTGCTGTCACTGGAAATCTTAGGAGTCTTGTACATCTATTTTTATCTTTGTTAAAGGTAAGCATTCGGTTTTCTGAGATGTATCCCACGCTGTTGCAAATTCTGCTGATTTGGCAATTAGACCGTGTTCTTTAGCTGATTAACATTGATTCGGTTTTGCTAAAACTACAACAACAACAAAAAAAGGTTTGTGATGGTCTTGAAAGCATGCAAGAATGTGCTAGACACCTCAAACCAATAATGCCTTGCATCATATGGCATAGCAAATCGTGTTTATAAATTTATGGATGTTGATAATAGCTGAATAATTAATTTGCAGCTTGTTGTAAATGTTCTCTTTGTAAAGAAATAGAGAGAGAGAGATTTTAGAGATTTTTTTTTTGTCTTAATATATTATTTATTTTTGTCTCAAAGTATTAGAAGTTATATTTTTTTTATTTAAAATAATTATGTAATATTTTTGACGAATTTTAAAGAACTTTAAATGTTACAATATATATATTTTTCTCAATGGGGGAAAATGTAAAGAACTTAAAATGTTATTAATGTTAAATGTTAAAAATTTACCTGTTTCAATTAAAAAAAAAATGCTAAAAATTAAAATATAACTCTGAAAATTCAATTGGACATTTTTTGAAGGAAAAATGAAAATTTTGTGAGGGAAAAAAAAACGTACAGAAAACATATCTAATTAAAAATATAAATATTTCTAGCAAATATAAATATGCCTGTTTCAAGAAAATATAAAAATGCTTTGCTAAAAATGAAAATATAACTCTGAAAATTCAATTGGACATTTTTTGAAGGAAAAGTTTTAAATTTTGTAAAGGGAAAAAATGTAAAGAAAACAACTGATTGAAAATATAAATATTTCTAGCAAATATAGAAATAGACATTTTTAATAAAAACATTTTTTTTTTCTTTTACATTTTTTTTTGTCTTCAAATAAAGAAAAAAAGTACAGAAAAATAATTTTAATAAAAAAATATACATGTTACTTCTAGGTAAGTAATAATAAAATAAATAAATAAAATCCTTACTTTGTAGCCAACAAGTAACCACCTGTTTACTAAACATATGACAAATAATACATTCTAAATTGGAGGGAGATTAAACAGTAGTTTCTACAAAATATACAGTAATGGGCTTCTAGAGGGGAAAAAAAAAAGAATCAGACATTAGCTTGAAAATGCATGATCCTTTATTTTTTTGTGGTTGTACATAATTAGACATTTATCTATTTTATGCCCATATAAATTGTATAATTCTGTGTAGAATAGCAGAAACATGCTAGCCCTCATGAAGCATTGTTCAAGAACAACAGTTAACATAGACTCGATGGATTACATAAAACATTCCTTCTGTTTTGAAATCCATGCGCTATAGTAAATATGTGGAACGAATGTCATCGTCACGTTGGTTATGCACCGCTCTGACTCCAGCCGTCACGTCTACCGAGTTCATCTCATTCATTTGGGTTCTTTAAGGCATGATCTCTCTGCCTTCTGTAGACATTCAGGATGCTTTACTGGAAATGCTAAGTTGCCACGACACAGAACTATGTACAAGAAATGCTCATTTGAAACCCTCTTAATGTAGCATAATCTTAACCTGACACCTTATTTTAAGTTATGGTGTGTAACTGTATGCTGAGTGAAAGGATGATTTCACACAGACTGTCAATACACATGTCCATACACAGGCCAATGCATTGATTCACAGAAGCTTAACATAAGCATACACATGCTCTATCACTGCACTCAAGGCTGTTTGTTCCTCATCATGACAGGCTGATAGAAATAGTAACGTGGGGCCTATTTTTGTTTCTGATTTTAAACAGGGACTGAACTTTTTCTTCTCAATCTTCAAAGACGCTTGTGATGCTTCAAATATAGATTGTTCACCCAAAGATTCAAATGATGGCTTTCGTTCTTATGCAAAACACAAAAGAAGATATGTTTGAACTGTTTTTGTCCATAGAGTGGAAGAATTATTTCTTATTATCATTGAAAACGGTGTGCTGCTTAATATTTTTGTGAAAACCGTGGTCTTTTTTCTTTCTTTTTTTCCAGGATTGTTTTGATGAATTTAAAGTTCAAAAGAACAGCATTTATTTGAAAGGGAAATCTTTTGTCACATAAAAGTCTTTTGATCAATTTAATGCATCCAAATTGTTTTATAGTCATTTAAATATTTGTATTTAAAGGCAGTATAAAATACTACGGT